TTTCTGGGGCTCAACACAATGCCTTACAGTAAGGCAGAGGGTCCCTGTATGTGGCTACTCAGTGCAGACCTCTGGTCCCTTACTACTCGGGTGCCACGTACTTTGGGACAGCCTTTCCTAAGGTCAGCATCCTGAGCATTAGACACTGGTCGCGGCCACCATTAGCAGCTTTGTTTCGCTATGAAGGCGCCATCCCCTCCTTATGGGAACACCCTTCCCTGGGTCCCTCTGCTCTCCGCATGGGGAACTCCTTCCCTTCTCCACTCAGGGTTTGAGATTCCCGCTTTTGGATGCTGGTCTGCAGTCCCAAGGGGAGGGAACTTTGCAGCCTCTAAGCTTCAGGGCTTGGAGCCCAGCACAGGCTTCAGGGGGACTCGTCCTTTCTACACCCCCCTCTCTTGCCAGACTCTATGATGTTTCTTCAGTGATCCCTACTCGCAATATGTCCACTCAGGTATGTCTCTCTGGTTTTTCCAAGCTGGTTACATAGTATTTTAGGAGTAAATCGAGTCCGTGGCTGAGAGCAGTGGTGCTCTGCTTCTTCTCACAGTGCCACCATCCTCCCTCCCCTCTCTCTGATTTTTTTCTACTGTCTTCTTATTCACTGATCTGATCCTCGTCTTCCTCTAATCTTTTGTTTATCCCTTCCAATGTGTACTTTATTTCTGCTATGTCGTTCTTCATTTCTGACTGGTCATTTTTCGTAGTTACTATATCTTTTCATATGCTGTTGATCATCCTTGTAATCATTGTCCTGAACTCTACATCTGATAGATTACTTATTTCCATTTCATTTAGCTCTTCTTCTGGAGTATTCTCTTTTCCTTTCATTTGGGGCTTTTTTGTTTCCCCATTTTGGCTCCCTGTTTGGGTTTGTTTCTATGTATTGGCTAGATCTGCTATGATTCCCTCTTTTTCAAGGGTCTCTGGTGCAGGGCACTGTCCTATGCTGTTTGTGACTGGCCCTGAGTGCCCTGCTTGGAGCTATCAGCAATCCACAGCTTGTGACTCCCTGGGCTGTGGCTGGGTGTGTTTGGAAAGGACTAAGCTGCACACCAGGGTCTGCTTTTCCTAGCCCAGGGTACAGAAGCAGATCAGGCAGACTCAAAGCATCCAGAGATATGCCTCTTCCTGCAGGCTAATAGTTATTCTCAGTCTGTTAATGAATCATCTCACGCTATAAACCACAGCAAGGCATAATCTCCATAGGGTGGCCAAGAGGTTTTCCAACAGCATGGGGCAATTGCTTCCCCTATCCCCAGGCAAAAGCTGCCTGGATGGTAAAGGTCTGCCTGAGAAATATGTCCTCTGCAGTATGGGGGAATGACTCAGAACAGGAATTCAGGTGGCTGCCTTCTGTGCTCTATCCCCAGAGCCCCCAAACTTGGATTCTCCTCACACAGCTCTAGTCCACTCTGCCCTCCCTTTGCCAGAGCCCAAGGTGAGTGGCTTCACATGAAATTTTGTGCATTGGCTCTTTAAGAAGGTGCCTGCTTTTTCAGCCATCTCTCCCTGGCAGACAGAAACCCCACTGCTCTTTTCACAATCAGATGTTATGTGGGCACCTTTCTCAGTTCTGGTGCTCTGGGATGGGGAGCCCAGCTTGGGGTTTAGACCCAAGAGTTCTCAGTGGGAACCCCCCACAGCTGAGATATCCCTCCAGAACTTCATCTGTGATCTGTGGGACCCTGGCCAGCCCTCTCGCGCCTTCGCAATTCCTACCAGTCTCTATGCGCTCTCTACTTTTCATCCTTGGTTATGAGGGTTCTCTCCAGCTGGTCTTCAGTTGATTTTTCAGGATGGTTTTTCTATATTTTAGTTGTAATTCCAGTTTGGTCTGGGAGAGTATCAGTGTAGCTTCCACTTAATCTACTGCCATCTTGGAATTAGAAAAATTTTTTGAAAATAGGTTTCCACCACCAAAATATTATAAAAATCACAACATACCCTAATATACATGAATTATTGTAAATACCATAGGACTTTGGGCAAAACAGAATCTTTGTAAACTGGAGTAGAATTAGGGTTTCACTAAATTAGATTAGAAGGTTATCCCAGTCTTAATCTGATTGCAAAATCCACAGGGACAAGGGCTGTAGGCACCATTACCTTCTAATCCTGTTAGTCTCTCACACAAGGTAAGCACTTTATAAATAGCTATCATCTGATCTATGGAGGGATATATGGTCTGATAAGCCTGTGGGACCACTTTATAATGAGTTTTGAAGTCTAAAAAAGGATAGAATGAAGTAATTAAAATTACTGTGAACAAAATGTCATCATACAAAGTTAAAGGAAATAGCAGGTGGTATGAATTGCAGCAGAAAGACAAGCATTAAGAATACCAGCCAGGCTCTTGCCAGTTTTGCTCAGTGGTTAGAGCACTGGCCTGCAACTTAAGGGTCTCAGGTTCGATTCTTGTCAAGGGTACGAATCTCAATTCTAGGCTCAATCCCTGGCCCTGGTTGTGGTGTGTGTGGGAGGCAACCAATTGTTGTGATCCTCTTACATGGATGTTTCTCTCTCTCCCTTTGCCTTCTACTTTCTATGAAAAGCAATGGAAAAAATATCCTTTGTGTGTGTGTGTGTGTGTGTGTGTGGTGAGGATTAAAAAAAAATAAAGAATACCAACCAGAAAGCCACTGATGTTTTGGTCAATTCATAGTCTTTAAAAGCCCTCAATTTTAAGTATTTGGGCCAGTTAAAAGGATTAAACATAATTCTTGCCCTCAAAGAGCTTCAAGTATGTATAAAAGACTTAGAATGAGTAGGTGATTTCAAGAAGGGCCAAGAGATGGAAGAACAGCTCTGGAACTTCTAGCTTGAACTTTCCTGAAATACCTTAAGAACTTAAAAAAGGAAAAGAGGCAAGTCCACATGGCCACATCCAAGTATAAAATTTTAAAAACTCAGTTACTATATGCAAGAATAGTGTTATCTTTAAAGAAGGGGAATGAGGAAGCCTTCTTGGAGTGTCAGAAATGTCTTGATCTAGGTGTTGGGTTTCATAGATGTATTAATCAATATGTAATTTATATGTTTTAGAAATTGCTGTACGTTTTTAAAAGTACCCTGTTGTGATATTTGGGACAACTCTTTAGGGACTGATGCTTACAAAATGGATACTTAGACTTATAATTTACACTTAAAATTCCTCCTCAAATAATTGAAAAAGATTATACCATAAAAAAATCAAGTCATATTTACATTTGCTTGGTTAATGACATCACACCAGCTTTTAGTTTTTGAGGTAACTATACTTAAGAAGCTTCCTTGTGGTTACAAATGTTTCCATCTTGTGATTTCCTTTCTCATTTTCTAAATGGCAAGTGCAAGCTGTTCTGCCAAGGAGGAAAAAAACCCCAGCTCCTTGATATCTTCAGACAACCCTATTCCCAGTACTTGACAAACTACAATCCTGCATGGAGTTCAGTCTATCCTTATGAAGCAAGTGTTCCCATTTTGTGTCATGCCAGCATCATTCAAAAGTGGAACAGAAAGTTCTTTCATGCTGAGACTACCTTGAGATTGTCAACAGGTAATTTCTGATTTCCTTACTGAGCAATATTCCCTAAATTTCTAAGGGAAAAAAAGACATGATTTTACCTTGTTAAAGAGACCATAATTAATAAGAAGTTATGCAGCGTGTTTATTAACTAATCATAATATAATTAACACAAGGTAGAAGAAATCTCTTGGGTTTAAAAATAGCTTTATTTAGCATACCAAAAACATAGAAACATAAGAAAAACCTTACCTAGTATAAACATAAAAATAGTTAAATACCATAATTTAATGTAAACCAAGTGTTTAAAAATGTGAAATATTATAATAAAATACATGCTATTTACACAGAACCAAGTTAAAGCAACCTCCACAGTTATATCAGGTCACCAATCTTGAAATCATAACAAACAATGAATCAAATACAGCATCAGTATTTGTATTGTTTAATAGGAAAAAAGAAATGTAATTTAAACAGATACTATTCATTGTGACATTCAAAGCAGAGAGGCAGATAGTGCCAGTTCTAGGATTCCAGGCACAGCTACTGCATGTGGAGGTTTGGAAACTATTCCACTGGAAGACCTACCATTAAGCCCATTTGTTCATTTAAATGGAAACTGGTTGATTCAATTTAGTTTCTGCTTAAGAAAGGTACTAAATATATCTGCAAAAATAAACCTTTATTAAAAATGAACAAAGGTAAATGTAGTATCAATCAGGTAAGAAAGGCAAAAGCATAAAAATATATATTATTCCAGACAAGCCCCTTTAAGTATAACAAATGTTAAGAAACTCAGTTTATAAAACCAGATGGGGTAGCAAAAGGGTTTTTTAAAATGTAAAACCCAGAGCAAAATCAAACCAAAAAAAACACAAAAAACTAAGAGAATGCTACTTGAAGAAAGCAGTATTTTGTTTTTCCTGTCATCATGATGCCAATGCTGCCAGGAGATCTGTGGCTGATGCCAGTTATCACTATGGATTAGGAGTGCTTTCTTTAGCCAACAGTCTAGAAAGCTGTGGTCATTGATCAGTTTAAGTATTTGACTTTTGTTTCAATGATCAACATTCATTCATATACTGCAATTCAGGTGTCACTAAAAGGAAGCACTAAATCCTGTATCAGGAGTTTGAACTGTAAAATAAAGTTGCAAGAATATATACTTAGTAATAACATTCTGCTCCTTTGTCTAATCTTGTAATTTTGAACCTTTGGTCTCCAAACTTCTTTATACTCTTAAAATTTATTGGGGATTTGGATTCCAAAGAGCTTTTGTTTATGGAGTTGACATCTATCATATTTTCCATATAAGAAAATGAAACTAAAAAAAAAAAAGTATTCATTTAAAAATTAAAAAGTCCATTATATGTTAACATAAGTAACATTTTTAAGAAAATAACTATGTTTTCTAAAACAGAAAAAAGATCTGTGGGAAGATGGAATTGCTTGACATTTTCAACTATTTTGAGAGAGAGTGAAAAAACAAATAATGTCTTCATATTATTATGAAAATAGTTTTGATCTCACAGATCCTCTGAAAGACTCTCAAGGAAACCCCACGGAGTTCATGGGTCACACTTTTGAAAACTGATGGGTTAATCTAAGGCCTGATATTAATGACCTAAAAATTCTACACAAAAGGAGTCTTAATTTTCATTTTAAAATAACCCAAAATATCCACACATATCCACACAAGTCACTGTATCAGACTTCAACTTTCAGCTTTAACTAGAAGCCAAAGATCGCCATGTTCTCATGGCCAAATTCAAAACAATATTGTCATTTCTGCTGAGACCATGGTGAAGATTTATTCTTTTTTAGCTCACGAAAGCTACAAAACCTATTAACTAAACACACACATTTTAGTTCTAACATTTGCTTAATCCTATTTGTGCTGAGCTGGCTGTCATCTTTAATTTGGCACAGTCTTGGTATAGACCAGAGCATGACAGGAGTTTAACAAATATCCTTCACACTTACATTAGGAACATGTTAGCCATTTACGGAGCACCCTACTCTATTTCTCACTATGTGAGAACTCTGATAAATTTTAGGGAAGCAGGGAAAAAATTCTCCCTTGAGGACAATAAGAACAATGCTCTGATCTCTTCACATCTTACAAATTACTTTCATGCACACCATCTCATTAGATCCTTTGAAGCCACTGGAGAAGAACAGGACAAATGATTTCACTGCCATTTCAGAGTTAAGGAATTTGAGGGTCAGATATGGGACTTTCCCAAGGTACCATGGCAAGTATATTGCAGAAAGGGGTGAGAATTCATGTCGTCTCACTCCTAGTTCAGGACTCTCCCCGGCATTCCCTCTTCCTCTGGTTCCAGGGCAGGATTAAAGGAGGGGTCAGTGGGGATGGAGAGAGGCAGCAGTGTGTGACACTTGCGAAACCTCCATTCCATTGCCTCACCCACCATTTACCCAACACCAAGGAAGCTTGGGAGTGGCAGACATCTCTTCGACTGTTATAATGAATTTCCCACCAGTGCATACATTATGGAACTGCATACAAAAACAACTGTCTCACTTTTTCTTTCTGAGCCAGTTTATGTTGGCAGTTCATTCATAGTCTCTTCACTCTGATCCAAGGGAAAAGTAAAAATTCTGCAGTTAAAAATATCTGATTAAAATACAAAATGAAATAACAATAATGAGATCTCTGTGAAGCTATTATAACTAGATTTACTGTGCACCTGGCACAACAGACTTTGCAATCTTCCTCCACCAACTGGAGAGCAATATAAAAATCATAGTTCTTAATTTAATGGGAAATTTCCTCAATCATCCTGAGGCAAATACTTCAGTCTATGCAGAAACATTAAGAAAATAATTTTAAGAATTGTATTTTAAATTCTTAGATGCTTGAAGATTCTGTGGTGGTAGGAGAAGGAGTAAACAGCAGAATAAAAGGCAATGAAACACGAGAAGAAAATAATTATTGTCACCAAAGAGCAAAGGAGTAATCTTTATTCACTGTCATTAATACATATATCTACTTTAAAAATTATTTTGTTGGCAGGAAATCCTCTCCACCAAGATGTTAATACAAATAGCATGAGACATTCAAAGAGAGTACGCAAACACTGTTTAATGGGGAGGGGGTAGTCAAGAACAACAAAACAACTCCCTCCTACAAAACTAGCCAAATGTCACACCAATGACCAATAATTTCTTTCTATACACTATAAGCGAGTTGCTGTTTACTGTGCTTTCCCTCTGTCTTTCTGAGATGTTCCAAAAATCAAGATGGACTACATGCATTTTTTTCCTTTTAAGGTAGTTGAAGAAAAAGGTTAACAACAGCCAGTAAGAATTAGAAAACATACTAAGTTCTTCTTATTTACAAAATTGAACAGCATATTGCTATTACACCACTTGATGGTGTCTCCTCCTCCCCAATTTTGGTGAGTAATGTTCTCTTTACAGGTGATTTAGACATAAGTTAATGACTTTTTAAAAGTTTCACGTATGTTGGGCTGATGTACATACATGTATATATGTATATATGTATATGTGCATGAATACACACACACACATATGTATAACTCATCACATCACATGAAGACCTGCACTGTTTTTCCCTCTTCACATATTTTCATTACCTAAAATGAGCATGGATAATGATTTTATAGTAGGAAACAAAACTAATTAAAATCAAATCAGAAAATGTGAAGTGGTATGCCGTCAAGAGTCCAATAAAATAAGTCAATGCACATTTATGTGGTGGTAAAGTGCTAGAAAGTTCTTTCATTAGTATTCTAAAAATGATTATAATAAAAAGAAGTTTGCAGTTTCACTTGATGGTGGTGACCACAGGCACCATAGCGATGGCACTGGCTGAGTTAGAGTTGATGATGTCCTCATACTCCGGGGGTGGGTCTAAATGAGGGTCTGTTTCACTGCTCTGAAGGTTCACCTGGCCAGTGGCTTCCTCATAGGTTGGTGGAGGATCACAGTTGGACAGGCGAGTGGAGACGGAATCTGAGCGCCCAACTACATATTCCAGAAAGCCTGGCGACATTCCACTGCTATCAAACACTTCGTCTGGTGGGGGAGGCGGAGTGATAATATTAAGGTGCTGAGGGAAAGGCATGTGACCTTCAGTCACTGTCTGTCTGCGAGTTTTGTTTCTTAGGAAGCATCTCCAGATTAGGAAAATGACAAGGAGGATAATAAACAGGCCAAAGATTAATGGAAAGGTAAGGTAAAATTGAAACCAGTCACTTCCTCTGTTACTCTCCCCTTGTTGTGCCTTTGTATAGGTGTTCCAAAACTCTTTCTGAAAGTAAAAGACAAAATAAATTGAAAATCAGTATGATCAAAAGATACAAGATACCAAACAAAGAAACGTCTGGGGTCCATTAAACACCTTGCTGACCAAGCCAGAACTTGCCCATGTGGCCGGCTACTTTTCCGCACTTGAACACTTGTGACAGGTCAGCAAGGTGTTAAAAATTACTTAAATTAATGTAAGTGCAGACACAAGTTAACTTGTGACCAGTCAGCAATATTCAGATATGGAAACACATGTATACTTGTGACTGGTCAGCAATTTGTTAACATAATGAAAAAAAACAAAACCAGATTTGTTGGTTTAGATGACCTTATAGCCTACATTTTCCATGACAAGAAATTACAAATAAATCATGGTGCTCACTCTGGATCTTTCCTAAAATAGAACATGAGTCTTCTTCAACACTTGGAGTAATTTATATTTTCAGCTATAACATTTTTTTTTCCACTTATAGAATTTTTTAAAATCTTTCAGTTAGAGTTGACATACACTATTTTATTAATTTCAGGAGTAGTGACTAGACATTTATATAACTTAAAAAGTGATCACCCCAATAAGTCTATTACCTATCTGACAACATACATAGTTATTACAATATTACTGGCTATATTCCCTATCCTATACTTTACACCCCTGTAACTGTTTTTTATAACTGGAAATTTGTACTTCTTAATCTCTTCACCTTTTTCACCCATCCTCTCCAAACCCGCTCCCATCTGGCAATCATCAATTTTTTTTCTCTGTATCCATGAGTTTGTTTCTGTTTTATTTGTTCATTTATTTTGTTTTTTTTAGACTCCACGTGTAAGTGAAATCATGTGGTATTCGTCTTTCTCTATCTGACTTATTTCACTTAACATAATACTGTCTAGGTCCATACATACTGTAAAAGACAAGATTTATTTCTTTTTTATGGCCAAGTAATATTCCACTGTATATGTATACCAACTCTTCTTTACCCATTCATCCATCAATGGACATTTAAGGTTGCTTCCATATCTTAACTATTGTAAATAATTGTGAATATATCATTTTAAATTAGTGTTTTTGTATTTCTTCAGATAAATACCCAGAACTAGATTTGCTACGCCATATGGTAGTTCTATTCTTAATTTTTTGAGGTTTCTTCATACTGTTTTCCATAGTGGCTGTAATAATTTACATTCCCACTATCATTGTGTGAGGTTTCCCGTTTCTACACATCCTCTCTAACACTTGTCATTTCTTGTCATTTTGATGAGAGATTCTAACAGGTGTATTACATTGTGCTTTTCATTTGCATTTCCTAGTAACTGACGATATTGACTATATTTTCACATGCCTGTTGGCCATGTGTATGTCTTCCTCATAAAAATGTCTATTCAGATCCTCTGATCATTTTTTAAAAATCCTTACCCAACAATATATTTTTCATTGATTTTAGAGAGATGAATG